AGCGCCCACTAGGCCTAGACCCCGCCTGGGGCCTGCCCTGGTCATCTCGCCGGCCCGGGTCGTGTCGTGGGCACTGTGGCTTGCTTGTTTGGGTTGACCGGAGGTTGGGGGCTGTTGGGAGGCTTCTGGGGCCATCTTGAGATGGGTTCCTGGGGGCGAGGGCGTTCTGCAGAGTCTGTTAGGTCTGGGCAGTGCCTACAGGGATTTGCTCGTCTACGAGGGCCCTGGGGCCATTTAGTGGGCCTGCAAGTCGTCCTCACGGGCTGGGGGGAGTCTCTTAGGGCCCCTCCCCGCCCCCAGAAGACTTGGAGGTGCCCACGGTGGGGGAGACAGATTCCGAAACGTTCCCAGGGTCGTGGATGGCCACCCCAGATCTGGGGAGGCATCTAATCAGGATGACAGGAGACAGGCTATTAGAAAGGCCTGCTGCCATCCACAGTGGCTTTGGGTGTGACTTCCAGGGGTGCGGTAATAGAATGGTACCTGGGGGTACATATGCCAGGCCTGTAAGCCTGGGGAAAATCCGAATGACTTTTGGGGCCAAGAGAATAAGCCCCACCTTCGCCCCCATAAGAAGAAGGTGTTGGAAACTGTGTCCCCACCTCAGAAAGGAACTAAGGATGAGGAAAAGTTACGGTATCCTGCATTGCCCTAGGTGAGGGTCTTGATACCCTGGGAAAAAGTCTAGAGGACCTACAAGCCCAGTGCTTTTGACCTTGATCAACCCTAAGAAATACAGTTTCCATGGAGACCCAGCACATGCCTTCAGAGACACTTTTAAGGAGGTCGAAGTCCCACCAAGTCCCCTTTCCACGTACTCCTTTTGATGTTAGGCCCTTGAGCTGCTCACCTCAGGTGTGCAGTTAAAACCCACCAGCAGGTCCGAGAGAGAAAGATGAGGCTGTCTGTCCCCTGTCGAGATTTACTACCTTGGAGACCTTGGGGAGCAATTCTGCACTGTCACAAGGAGTCAGAGTCCACTTGATGGCTGTGGGCGTTTTAAAATTTTTAATTTTTGTTAACCCCTTCGTGGGATGATGCACCCTGAAGAGTTTCCCTCTGGCTGCTCCTTTCTTATACCTGGTCGTCTGCTGCGGAATTGCCTTCATTCCCTGGTGTTCGGGAAATGCTGGAGGTTGAGCAATGTCTCCAGGGCCCGCTGATCTGTCAAGGGCCTCGGGTGGGTCTAAAGTGTTTGCCCGGACCCCAACACCAGCTTTATTCACAGCCTGGGAACCGGGAACTGGTCAGGATGGCAGTCTCGGGTCCTGGTAGTTTAGGCTTGTCTGGAAAGTGCTCAAGATCAGCCCTGGGCCAGGAGCTGTCCGCTGGGACTGGGGATGGGTGGGAATAGTGGCCAGGTGCTGCTCCATCTCAGGTGGGCCGGGGAAGGGGCCCCGCAGGCTTAGTGTGCCAGGAGTTTGAAAGTGGGGGCTTTGGGGCTCACTTAGAAATTGGGGTGTGTGTGGAGCCCTTTATGCAGGTGTGGAGCTGGGAGGGAGGAGACAGGTGTAGGAGGAGCTGGGACCCTGGGAACCGGTGGCTCTGTCTAGAGCACCCCAGATGTGATGACAAGCATGCGGCCAGGGTCAGGCTTGCCTCCCTTCTCCAGGCCCTTCTGGGCAGCAGCAGCAGCTCCGGCCACTTGGCCCGCCTTCTGGAGAAGCAAACTGAGCTGGGGCGTCCAGGAGCATACAGTGGGTCTGCAGACGTGGAATCTTTGCAGGCCCAGGTGGTGTTCGCAGGGTGGCCCCATTTGCACATGGTGGAAGGGCGCTGACCGCTGAAGTCAGCGTGTGTGTGTCCGTGTGTCCCAGACCCCACTACTCAGGACACCCCCCTTCTTCTTCCAGCCGAAGGGTGACTTTCCCACTGGCTGACCTGGGCCACAAATCTGTAGGGTTTCTGTGAATGTCGTCCAGATGTTCCCCGGAGGCTCCTGCTGAACAGGTCCTGGGGACAGCGGGCTTCCCCTGGAAGGCAGTGTGTTGCTTTGAAAAGCAGCAGCCTGGTGTGTGGGAGCCCTCCCTGAGTGCCCCTCCACGCACCCAGGAGCACTGCTCCTGTCCCTCACCAGCGAGGCCAGTTGATGCTGGCAGGGAACCACGTGGGGTCTGAGGCGATGCGCCTGGAACACCCCCCCCCCTCCCCGCCCCTCCTTCCAACATTCCGGTGGGTTTGGGGAAGGTGGGTTCGCAGCAGGGGAGGAGCGGAGTAAGGGATCTGGCATCACAGCTCAGTGGATAAACGCCTGGGTGCTGGTGAAGCGGCCCTCACCAGGGTTGGAAGTCAGGGTCTTGGAGTGGGGGCAGCCTTGGGGCCCCAGCATGCTGAGAGAGGAGCCTTCTCAGGCCTCCTCAATGGAAGAGGCAGCTGGAAGCCAGGCGGGGGAGGGACCCCTGTGATTGGAGGCTGGCTTGCGTCCTGGAGGGGAGCTGGAGGGGGGGGGGTACGGATGGAGAACCCAGGACACCAGTCGGAGCAGCGTGGGAGGCCCCCTGCTTCCACACCTCCCACTGCCTCCTGCCTCCCCTGCAAACTGTCCCCCTCCGCCCACCAGGTGACCATGGAGGAGGAGGATGAGTCTCGAAGGAAGGCAGAGGAGTCGGGCGAGGAGCGCAGTGATGGCCCTCCCGATAGAGACCCCACGCTCTCGCCGTCTGCCTTCATCATGGTGAGGCTGCTGGCGGGGTGGGAAGAGCCGGGCGGGGGCCCACGTCCCAGGGGGCCCTGGAAGCCCTCTAGTCTGGTCAGAGAGGTCTCTGGAAGGCTGAGAACTTCCTCTGGTGCCTTTTCCCTCCCCCCGCAGCGGGCCATCCAGCAGGCGGTGGGGAGTTCCCTGCAGGGGGAGCTGCCCAATGAGAAAGGTAGGCTGCCTTCCGGGCCTCCCCTGAGCCCACCCCCCCAGCCCCCAGCCTCCCCTCCCCCTTGGATGGAGGGGAGCCCTGACTACCACGGAGGGGCCTCCAGTGACCCACCAGCTAGACAGCATCCTGGTGGGCAGTGGGGAGGGTCGGGGAGGGTCGTGCAGGAGCGTGTGGACTCTTCCTGAGGACAGGCGGATGGGGTACAGCAAGCCAACCAACCAGCCTTGTGATCACTTGTGGGCAGCCTTGAGGACTTCCTCCAGGGGAGTGAGTCAGGAGGGGGCCCCACCCTTCTCCCCCTCCATCCCCAGGGGCTGTAAACCCCACCCAACACCCCCCCCCCTCTCCAGATGGCTCCCGGTGTTATGGCCTTCGATGGAGGCGCTGCCGGAGCCCGAGGTCAGAGCCCCGGGTCCAGGAGTCCGGGGGGACAGACACAGCGACTGTGAGTAAGGGGAACCCTTCCTCTCTCCAGGAGCCTGGGTCTGAGGGAAGAGGGTTCTGAGAGACTTGAACTCCCAGTTCTGAGGTGCTAGTAGGGTAAGGTGTCCAGATTTTAACATTGGTAAAGCGGGACACCATTGATAAAACTCATATCCTGGGAAAAAAAAACAACAAACTCATATCTTGGCAAAATAGCCATATGGCAGCCGAAAACCATATATCCTAGCTTTTCGTGCATTCTTTCCAAAAATCAGGACTTTTTTAAAACGCTGCAGGACGCGGGAAAAATTGTTAAAAATCGGGACGTCTGGACACCTTATATAGTAGAGTCATGTGAAAGGTTCCAGGGGCTGGGCCTCACCCCCTCCCAAGGTAGCCAGGCCAAGAGGAGTGGCTGGAGCCTCAGGTGACCTGTGTCTGAGCAGGTGTGGCTGGGGAGCTGGTACTTCTGGGTGTCTGGGGGGGCAATCACCCCCTGGAACCCACCCGGCCTCTTCCAGGTATTGGACGTGGCTGCTGACAGCTTCCTGGCTGGGCTGGTGAACGTCCTGGAGCCCCCAGACACCTGGGTGTCCAGCCGGCTGGACCTGCGGCCTGGCGAGTGAGTAGTGGGCGGCCAAGCAGGAGAGGCGGCCACGCTGCTCGAGGAGCCCCAGGGCCAAGCCTCACTGCCCTCTCTGCCCACAGAAGCGAGGACCTGCTAGAGCTGGTGGCTGAGGTCCGCATCGGGGACAGGGATCCCGGCCCCCTGCCTGTGCCCAGCCTGCTGCCCCGTCTCCGGGCCTGGAGGACTGGCAAAGCAGGTATGTGGGGGCGGGGTGGTGGCGTCTGGTCAGCTTATCATTGTTGGAGTGGCAACGGTGTGGCCTGGATCGTGAGGTCCTGCTCCCTGCCAGCCGGCAGGGCTGTGGGGGCACACAGATGCAGATGGTCATGTGGGGTGGGGGGGCGGAGGCACGCACGTGTGCACACACACCCTGCCCCAGCTGCCCTGGGTGAGGGGCCCGGGCCTCCACTAAGTGCATGGCTGACCTGCCTGTCCCGGGGTGCTGACACCCCTTCTTCCACTGGGGCACCTGCTCCAGGTTACAAAGTGCAGGTTTGCAGTGGCCCCATGGTCCTGCTGGGTCTGCGGCCCCCTGGGCGGACAGGCCTATTCAACCCTAGACTGTGTGGCCGTGGCCCACCCTTCAGCATCCCCCTTAGCAGGTAGGTTTTGTCACCTCCCAGGGCATGGCCTTCCCCCTGCTCCCAGAGCCAGGGGAAAGACTGTTATCTCCTCTGTCTGTGTGTGACCTCGTAGACGGGCCCCCTGGGGTGTAGGGTGGGGAGAGGAAGGTCCTGGTGGTACTGCTGCTGCCACCCCATCCCCAGGACACACGGGCCCCAGGGATTTAGGCGGGACCTCTGATGGCCAAGGAAGGCCTGGCCATCTGCGTCCATCAGGCTGCCCGGGCTGCTCTGCCGCTCAGGGTCCACTCAACGGCACATGGCCTTGGCCTGGCAGGCCCCCCACCTTCACCCAGTGCCCTGAGTTGGTTCCCAGCTATAGCACCCCTCACACCAGGGTGATGGGGAGGCAACCCCGCCTGCATTCACGGGGCCAGGAGCCTAGGAGGGTTACTTTGGGGCCTCCCCAGCCCATGGGGCCTTGTGGTACTTATTGGGAGTGTGACCATGGGGCTGGGCCATGGGGACTTGAATACTGACCCCGGCCCAGCCAGGCCTCCTGTAGTGGTGCAGCCTCGCAGGGTCTCTGTGATGAGCCAGATGTCTGGTCTGTGCACTGAAGGGACTTGGGCGGTCTGCCGCCCCCATCCCCCCCAGCTTGGTCACCTACTGCCTCTGCTCTGCAGGCGGGCATGGCAGCAGCCCGGCTCCCTTCTTGCCGTGGTCTCCTCTGCCCCCTGAGGGCGGCTGCGAGACCTCGGGTGAGAGGGTGTTGCTGGGTGAGGCTGCCCCGTCCTTCCCAGCCTGGGGGGCTGTTGCAGGAGGTTCTGAGTGCTAGGTGCATGGGTGAAGGTGCCGGGTGCCAGGTGTACACAAAATAGTTGGTGTCCCTGTGTGAAGGGCCTGTTTGCCAGCTGGGAGCAGGTGGTGGATGAGTGAGCAGGTGCTGGGTGGTCCAGTGCGAAGGTCCTGGGGACCGTGTGGCCTGTGTGTGGGTGCTGGGGGCCGCGGTGGGTGAGCAGGTGCTGGGGACAGGCTGGTGCCAGTGCTGGTGCTCTTGTTTGGCATGAGAGGAGGGCAGCTCTGGCCCCTGACCTCCCGCTGTCCCCACTCCATTTGCAGCTTCTCCGCAGTCCCATGCGTCTCGACCTACCTGTGCCCGCCACCTCCTTACCTTGGGCACTGGGGACGGGGGTCCTGCCCCACCCCCTGCCCCCTCCTCTGCCTCCTCTTCACCCTCCCCGTCGCCCTC